CTACCTGGAGACCCTCAAAAACCAGAGACCCCACGTTTTAGGCACAGCGATGAGCCCCCTCAAGTAAACATCTTTACGAACCATCAGTTAGCCCCTCTCCTTCAAGCACACCCCTGGCGACCCAGACAGGGCAGCCTAGAGGTGTCCTCTACCCGACTGGAGACCTCCAGGAGGCTGCAAATGATGAAAGGCGCCATGCTAACCCCCAAAGTTGGGGGTGGGTTCAAGTCAACCCAGAGGCACCCCAAAGCAAAGGCCTGGTGATCTCTCTCCAAAAACTCAGCCCCTGACAACTCCATGGGGGCGTCGTTCCATTTCGCAGCACCGTTTACGTGCATGTGTTGTGGTTTTCGCATTTAACTACAGACCAAGGGGAGAGAGCGGCACAAGAGATGAACAACCCGGTGCCAGCCCCGCCCCACTAGCTTCCCCGAGTGATGGGAGGAAGCGACAGGGCCCAAGGCAAGTTATAGAAGGTTGCCAGGTCACGGTTAATTTTAATTTTCAATTTTTGTCACCGTCAGCAGGAGTCTGTATCTAATCTCCACCGGCCCCAGAGTGTCAGAAGGAACACCGGCAGTGCTTATGTAACTGGGTGCCGAGGAATGCAAAGGGACCGGCGGTCTTTTGCTGCCGAACTGTTCACCAATCTGGGTCAGCCCCCACCATCCATATCTCGGCAAACAGCCGCACTCCGAGAAGACACTGGTTGACAGGGAAACCCTCTCCCATTTGGAGAGGGGTGAGGAGGGCAGAGAGCTTAATGGGGGTCTGTTCTGTAGGATTGGATTTTCCCCCCCTTACCATGGGCTGGGAGGCAGGCAGTGAGTGACAGGTAGCTTTTCGGCCCTTCCCTCCCCAGACCAACCCCCCTGCCCTCTTCCCTGGCCCCAGCAGAGGGGATGCTACAGGAAAGCGGATGGAACTTAAATTTTGAGTTTGTACCAAGGTGGGGATGGGGCCAGGTCTCTGGCAACAGAGGGTGAGGCTAAGGAATAATTGGTTATTTCTAACCCCCACGTCTTCCTCAGGTGGCCCCCGTTTGCTGGCATCTGCTTCCGAGTCTTGGGTGCCCCCCACAGCAACAGTGCTGACTCAAGGATGGAGCCCATCCAGGGGGTAAGGCCAATCAAGGGGTGTGTGGCTGACCCTGATGGCGAGGGCCAAACTAAGGGGCAGAGCCCACCTTGAGGGTGAAACAGAGATTGAGTCAATAAACTGACAAAAACCACACCCAAACTCACTACCAGACAGCCCGTGCTGACTCCCAGGGACCCCACAGGACAGGGGAGAACCTCCCCCCCTCCCATGGGTTCCTGAGGCTATAATACTTCACGGGAGTAGAAAGCCCCTACGCTCTCCCACAGAGCAGCTGGTGGTTTTGAACTACGGACCTTGTGGATTGCAATCCAATGCGTCACCGCTACACCACCAGGGCTCCTGAAACTGATGGAAGTGCATGGCAAATGGACGAAGGGAAGCGAGAAAAGGGAGATGGGGCACTGGGCAGAGCCTAGAGAAGGGGCTGAGCCGGACTGGGGCTGACCCAGCAGAGGCGTCCAGCCCAGGGTCCCAAACACAAAGCCCCGGGGGCACAGGCACAAAGTAGGATGCTCTTCTCTGGTCTCGCCTCGTGGTTGGCATTTTGATCACACATCACCACAGCTGCCTCGAACGTTCCTTGTGAGTCTCACAGCCACTGGTCCTGCCAACACGTTTCTGCATCTCAGGAGCTGTGGGCAAGGCACCCTTCGGGGAGAGTGCATGAAGCCGTGGGCAGGTCCTGCTATTGCTCCCAGCTGGCCCTTGGCCCTTACTCAGTGTGACCACAGCCTGTCTCCCAGCCGTCTCCCCTTCCTCTCTGCCGGGAGCTCCTGGAGGAGGACGCGGACTTCCCGTCTTGCTCAGTGCTGCCCACTGGCATGGAAACCTATCGACCCTGGTTCACACAGTCCACGAACATGGAGCCAGCCCGCTCGGCTGGTTCGCGGTGGCCCCAGTCGAAAGAAAACTCTGAGTGGTCATGTCCAAAAAAAGTCCTGAGACGAATCCGATCCATCACCTCAAGCCGAGGGCCGCAGTGCCTTCAACTGTCAAAGGGGCTCGGCCACCATTCCTGCCTCGCCTACCCCACAGTAGGCAGCGTGAAACCCAAAGTAGAAAACGGCCATCGTTTAAGGGATCACTGGCCTGTGCACACCCGGGGGTGCTCCCCGCATCCTCTCACATGAGAAAGGAGCAGGTGTAACCCTGCAGAGGTCGTCTGTGTGGCCGGCACTGCAGCAGAAGGCGAGCACCGCGGAGGTCAGCCTGCCAGGCCCCCAGTTCCTAGCGCACGTCACCTGGGTGGGAGACTGGCAACGAGCCCAGGAAGCTTCTGTGGCCACCATCAAGCCCTGTCGTATGGGCCGGGCCTCACCTCATGCCACGCCTCTTCCGTGTCTCACCCCGGTAAGCCCCACGTCATCACCCTATGGGGAGGCGGGCTCATCAGATGAAGGAACATAGCCTCAGAGAGGGTCTGCCACTCCTCAAGGACACAGAGCCGTCCTAGCTGGGGCCCCGCACACAGCCTGTGGTGAGGCTGTGCACTACTTGGCACACGGTCCCGGTGAGGAAGAGGCCAGCAGCTCATTCACTGCTGCGGCTGCCACCGCACCAAGACCCAGCCTGGCGGAGGCGAGGGGACACAGTGGCTGAGGCCCATGTCAGGGCTGCTCCGTCCCCAACTGTGCAGGGACCCGGATGTCCTCCTCACCCAGCGTCCCAGCTGGGAGGCGGGCACACCACGCCTACCTGTGCTTGATGGAGTTGCTCAGATCTCGGCGTGGCATCTGCGGGGACCAGCGTGGCACCGACAGAGTGTCTGCGGGGAGAGGAGAGAGAGGCGCTAGTTACAGAGAGGGCCAGAGGCTGTGGGCAGCAAGAGGGACGGTCCCAACTGCTGTTGTGTGCTAAACCAAAGCCCTGTGAAGTGCTGCGTCTGGGACTCCCCCAAGGGCTCCTTCGGGGGTCCACCTGAGAGAAGTGGGGAGACAAAGTCGAGAATCGAGCATCCTTTCCATGGGCAGCGTGTTGGCTGCGTGCCTGGCACGTACCATAGTAGCTCATTCTTTCCTCCAAATAACTGCAAGGTCAGGGTGGCTGGCAGCCCCATCTTATAGGTTAGGAAACCGAGGCTTGGAGAGGGGACATTGTTTGCTGGAGGTGGTACACTTAGCAGACTGCACACAGGGCTGGGTGTTCAGGTCTGAGGGGCTCTGCAGCGGGAGCCCTTGCCTGCAGTGTTATAATGGCAGGGTATTCCAAATATGCCATCTTCCTAATGTTTGCATGCCCTACACAACCTGTGGAATGATTTGCTTCGTAGTTTAGCTGACTCTATTTTGTTACCTAAATGCAGTCAACTTAAAAGCGAACTTTAAATGTGTATGCCTTTTCACATCTGACGGGCAATCATTTAAAAGATCTCTAACTGTGTATTACCACCTAAAATCATGCTACAGGAAGACAGACCGATGGACAGATGGGCAGATGGATAGATGGGCCCTGCATGATGAATGTATAGGTGGGGGGATGGGTGTATAGGTAAATAGATGAATGGAGGAGTGGATAGATGAATGAACAGATCGGTGAGTGGATAGATATATAGGTAGTTGGATCAAGAGACAGATGGTGAATGGATATATAGGTAGATGGATCAATAGACAAGTATATAGATGGACAGATGGGTAGCTGGATGGATAATCGATGGATGAATAGACAGATGGGTGAGTGGGTGGATGGACAGATGGGTGGGTAGATGGACAGATGGGTGGGTGGATGGGCAGATGGGTAGGTGGATGGGCAGGTGGGTGGGTGAATGGGTAGATGGGTGGGTGGATGGGCAGGTGGGTGGGTGGATGGGCAGGTGGGTAGGTAGATGGGCAGGTGGGTGGGTAGATGGACAGATGGGTGGGTGGAGGAGCAGATGGGTGGGTGAATGGGCAGGTGGGTAGGTAGATGGGCAGATGGGTGGGTGGATGGGCAGGCAGGTGGGTGTGGATAGGCAGATGGGTGGGTGAATGGGCAGGTGGGTGGGTGGATAGGCAGATGGATGGGTGGATGAGCAAGTGGGTGGGTGGATGAGCAGGTGGGTAGGTGGATGAGCAGATGGGTGGGTAGATGGGCAGATGGACAGGTGAATAGGTAAATAAATAGAGATAGTGGTGGATGGGAAGCTAAAACAATAAATTACACAGACTTTAGACTACGCGTCTGTCTCTTAAACCCTGAGCCCCCAACCCGTTCCTTCACCCCATCTGCCCAACTTCCTGCCCCCTCTTCTTCCCCGACCTTACAGGCCCGAGAGGAGAGACACGACAGCAGAAATGAAGGAACCCTGGCTCTGAAAGATTCACCAGCAAAGGAGAGGAGAAGCATGAGGCTGACCCACCGCCAGCTCCCAGTCTCCAGCCAGATGTAGGCAGCAGCCGGCTTCCCTCCCCGGGCTGCAGATGGAGGGCTCATTGTCCACAGCAACTGTTACAGAGTGGCTCGCTCATCAGGGAGCTGGGCATGTCTGAACCTCTCGGGGAGCATTTAATCCCCAGCCCTCTCCTTCCACTCTCCTGTCTAATGACACCGCTGGCCCATCTGAAAGCTGTTTCCAGAACCCTCTATTCTGCCCTTGTAAAGCTGGGGCCCTTTCTAGGAGAACTAATGATTTCCTACGCCCTAAAGGGCAGAGAAAACCCAAGAGGGAGACAGCATGATATATTAATCAGAATCCCATCCTGCAGAATTTCCTCTAGTGCAACTAAAAACTAAATGTCAGAGTGCCCAAGCCAATGTCACTGCTTGGTTCTGTTTCTGACGGAAGCCACAAAACGATAAGAGAGAAAAATACAGTGAGCTGTTGATTTGGGGTTGTTGTTTTTTTTTTTGCAAAGGAGCATTCTTTCCGTTCCTGCCTTTCTCCTTTGGGGACTGAAGTCGGGTATGGAAGGAAGGATACCACCTGTAACCCCTTAGGCTGCTTTCTCCAGTGCCAGGAGTGGGCTGAAGTGGGAGTGCTGGGCTGAGGAGCCAGGCTGAGTGCAGACACACAGCAGCCTACCAGAGGAGTTTCATGTACGGGGACCATCACCAACCAGGAACAGTGAACGTTCCACGTGGAGGTCTGTGGAGATGGATGGGGACCAGCACTGAGATCGATTAGCAATGTCTGCCATGGGTAAGAATGAGGCTGAATGTTGATGTTTGCTACCCCTGCCAAGGCAGGACCAAATCTTTCTGGTCTTTGCACCACCACTTCATACTTGTTTGTTGAAGCCAAGATTATTAGAATAAGAACAGTTCCTGTTTGCCGAGAATGCACTAGGTACTAGGTCTTACGCTGCGCCGTGCATACCTGGAAGCTGTGTCTCTGTGAGCTCGGAGCCAACATTTCCCCCAATGTACAAAGGAAGTTACAGAGAACAGAGAGGTGCAGTGGCTTGCTGAAGGTCACACAGCCACACACCAGCAGAGGAATCTCCAGGAATTGCTCTGTGATTGTTCGCAAGTCCTCTGGGAACCCCATACCTGTGTTCTCAGGGGACATTTCGGATGTTGCAGGTGGTAGATACTGGCATTGAGTGCCCCAGAATCCTACAAGGCACAAGACAACCTCAAGACAAGGGGTACTGGACCCAAACTGTCTTATCGTGCCAGGCTGAGAATCCCTGATCGAGAGGTGTCGCTATTCGTCTTCCCCTGGAGAAACAGAACACAAAACCCAATCCCCGATGGTGTTTCTGAAGCTCAAGAGTTGTCAGGGAACAAATCCTCCCTTATTATAAGCACTGTTAGATTCATAGCCTAGTTATTCTGCGATTCTCAATTACAGCACCTTCTTGAAAAAGAAGATGTAATTAAGTTTAATAGTTTGGATTCATTTCCCAATATCTGGCGAAGGGGCGCTGTCGGTCGATTACATTAAGCGGCCACAGCATCATTAGTCTCCAGCAGTAATAGGCTCTGCATGGCTCCCGACGTGGGCGTGAAGGCTTGAACTTGCAGGCCCTCTCTTTACTTTCTTCCTCTGGACTTTGCTGATGTGAACCTTAAAGAAGAGGAGCCCTGTTTAAAGGGAATGGTGGGAGGGGTGGTGGTGGGGTGCGGTGGTGAAAATCTGAGCCTTATCATAACAGAGAAGGCAAACAACATTTACAGCAATTAAACTGATACAGAAACTTCTGTTTAACCATCAAAGCACCTATTAAGATGTCTCCGCCGCTGAGCAGAAGATTCCTTGCTCCTTACATCGGCTGATAATCACTCAGGCAGATGCCGCGGGTGAACCTGCACTGCCCATGAGCCGCAGGTCCCTGGGGCAGAGCCGGACGTGTTTCTGCGGTGATAATTCCACGCCTGTGCTGCAGGGCGTAGGCTTGTCTCCCTTCCCTTGGGTCCCGCTGTGGATCCCCCTTGCAGGAATGGCTCCTCTCAGGAGAAGGGGGGTGGCTTGGGAGTCCTAGGCTTTGCAACCTCCTGGTAGTCAGCCAGGGAGACCCAGTGATGCATGGCTTCAACACTCAGCTACCAACCCCAAAGGCAGCAGTTCGAACCCAGTGAGCTGCCCCATAGGACACAGACATGGCAGAGTCTGCCTATAACCATGTATAGCCTTGAAAGACCTCTGGGGCAGTCCTACCCTGTCTGAGATGGTCACTGGGAGTAGGACTCGACTTGATGGCAGGGGTCAGTGTGATTTGGTAGCCAGGCAGCAGCCAGAAGGCTGTCAGTGGAAGTGACCTGCCTGAGCATCTTCCTCTGCAGAGCTTCGGGTGACCCTGAAGTCAGACTCGGAGAGAGGAGCGAGGCCGAGCTCACAGACAAGTGAAGGGAGAGAGGGAGAGAGGAAGGGGGAGAAGAAGAATCCAGGTGTGCCCCCCACCCCCACCACCACACACACACACACACAATTCAAAAGTCTGCTTCGTGCCATCTCGCTTTTACAAAAGACCCACATTAACCCTCGCTGGCGTTTGGCTTCAGGAAACAGCAAAGAGTGAAAGCCGCCTTCGGCGTTTGTTCGGCAGCCAGGCAGGCTGGCAGCGCGGGCCCGGGAACGACGCTCAGCATTTCAGCATCAGGCCGCCCTCCCTTCCCTTCGAACCGCGTCTGTGACTGCATAGTTCATGGTGGTAATGCTGTAGATTTCATGTGATATTTGGTGGGCCGTTTGGGGGGCCTGGGAATCACATGCAAATGTTTCATCTGTGGTAACTGCATCTTTGCACGGAGTCACTCTGGCTTTACGTCAGGCTTCATGGGAGCGTTGTGCTTTCCCACAGGGAGACCCAGGTCTGGTTCCCGGCGACGCACCGCACACAGGTCAAGTCTGCTTTGAGGAGGCAGCTCTTCTGCAGTCGTATTCTGAGCACCTTTGCACTAGGTCAGACAGTGTTCGGTGCCATAGGGCTATCATTGGTCAGTTGTTCAGAAGTAGATCGCCAGGTCCTCCTTTCTAGTTTGGCTTCATCTGGAAGCGCCACCGATATCTGTCTGCCCCTGGAGACCTGGCATTTGAAACCCCTGTGGTGTAGCTTCCAGCATCACGGCAACTCGGAAGCCATGAGAGTGTGGCAGACGGAGATGGGCAGGGTTGTAGCCACCGGACCATCAGGTCCTCTCTGGTGACCGTCAAGAGGAGGGGTCAGTCATGGGTAATGTCCGAGGAGGGGAACAGAGATCAGGATTTGTTTCAAGGCCATAGAAACACAGAAGCATGCTGGAATAGAGGCGAGAGGGCTGGGGTCAGCCTTACAGGTAGATGCACTCCCTCTGGCGGCCGAGGCGAGTACAGCCAACTCTCCAGACTGTCCACTGAACGCGGGAGGC